AAAGAGAAATGTTATGAAAAATTTATTAAAGGATGCAATTTCTATAGGCGTAACCCTCATGAAATAATTAAAGCCTTGTCACAAAACCTCATCGAGATAATACTTTCGGCACATGAAAGACCTACGATGGCTCTAAATTCTATTAATGCTGCAAGTTATGAAATTTATAGTTCAAAAAATGGTATGGATCTTGCATATTTATGACCTTGAAAATAGGCAGTTTAGATAGTATGTTATAATATATACTTTTTATGTTGGTATTTTGGTTTTCAAAAAATACTTTATTGTATTTCAAAATAAGATAGTGTTTTATGTAGTTTTTTTAAGTTTTAAATAACGTTCAAAGATAAAGGTGTGAGTTTTAGTCCATATTGAAAAAAAGAGCGTGGATTGAGTAGTATATAAGTGCGAGCACTCTTACATATTTTGTTGTGAGGTTGCGGTGCATGTCTAGAGCATGTGAAGTTGTGCACTTGATGGTGCACTTTGCATGCTTGTATCCAAGTTTTTTACTCACTTATCTCTCTCTCTAAATTGCAATTAGAACTTTTTCTTTATACAGGTTCAAAAACCACTTAAAGCTCTATAAAATGGGTTATTTTATCCCAGTTTTTTATACTCTTTAATCACTCATTTCTCTATCTCTCTATTTTTTTATTTTTTTTTACTCATTTCTCTATCCTTCTGCTTTTTTCTCTTTTTTTTTTCTCTCTCTCTCTCAATTAAAATTTTTCTTTCTACTATTGTTATACTCCGGTACTTTACAGTAGGCTTCTGGTTCATGTGCATAAAACCTTAAAGCAAATTAAAAACATTTTGTTTTCATGTATACTGAGGACAAGTTTACCCATAATATGTACACTATTTATTATATTGAAGGGGGCAAATATCATCTTAAAAAAGTGCTGCGTAAAAACAACAAGGACATTCATTATATTTTTGCCCTTATTTTACCCAATTTTTCTAACATTTCAAGTGTTTTTTTTTTTTCGGCATCCTAATTATCAAGATTGAGATGTTCAATTGGATGGTTTTCTAACTCCAAAACTGCAAATTTTAATGAGATTTAACATGCGGCTTTAATTCTTTTTCATGAGGCCTGGGCCTCAATCAACCTTTTCCATATTAAAAAGGTAACTTGTATATGTTCTAGGGTTCACGCATAAAGTAGCCTAGAGAGACCACTGCGGTTCACTAAAGTTTGTATATGGGTAAGGCCCTAAACAATCAAATCAAGACGCACATAAGGATTCACTAGAAGAGGTCTTTTCGATGCTCAAAATCCTCAAATTGATCATCTCGACCTCAATATGTATGGAAATGAGAAAAAATGGATTTCAAATATTAAAAATAGTACATATTGTAATGTATTTTTTAGGTTATCAATTTTCAAAAATTTTTAAATGTTAATGAATCTGCTCGATCTATACTATTTTTTAAGCTTTCAATTTTATAATTAGAGATGAATATTCAAGCCACCACAAAGGTTTTCAATACTAAAACATCTTTTGATACTATTTAAAATTGCCCCTTACTTTGATTGTTTAAGCCTCAATCTTATACAAACCGCACCCCACTAAAAGTGTGTCATGCTCAGAGCTTCGTTGTCCTTTTTTTTTGTTTTTCTTTTTTAATCGAGCTTGGCCATCACATATCACAAAGTTGAGAATTCGTTATCAAATAGTTCCTTTTTTTTTGTTATTTTATCGGGGAGCGCGAGGAGGAGGAGGGGTGAAGGGGGGCGGCGAAGGTGATGATATAGAAAAGAGAGAGGTGTGTGAGAGAGAGATTGATATAGAAAAGAGAGGGAAGATATGAGATAATTGAAGTGGAAAATTGTTTCATGCGGCGGGGATTGTATTTCTACATTTGCGTTCCTGGGGTTATAAAGTATACATCTTAAAGATGAATGCAAATAGGTGGTCCATCTAAAAATAATTGAAACTAACATTCCAATTTTTTTTAATAAACTTATTATTTATTTTTTCATATTCATGATTTCCATGTTAGAGATTATATGTCCTTTAAATTAGGTAAAAAAATCCATCTCAAAAATATATTTTTAAGACGTGACTCATTTCTATATGGACTCATAGAAACCGTATTCTTAAATATTTGAAAGAGAACATGATGGGGGGGTTGGACCGGATCCAAAAAAAAATGTTATGGGCCCCAAACTCGAACAAGACTAGACCTGAATTAATCAAACCCATACCCAAATTTGAAAATATAGTGTGGGATCCAAACCCGATCGGACCTATTCAGAACCAGATCTAAATAATATTTGAGTCCAAAATTTAGACCCGGGCCCAAATCAAATCCAATTGTGGATCTTATACCCAAAGACATATCAGATCTACCTTTCAGGTTCCAATTCGGGTCCAACTCCGGATACACTACCTGGGGTGGGAAGAGAAAGAATCTAAGATAGTTAACACAGGAGAGAGAGACCACAAGACACATCTAGGTTGATAGGTAGAGTATCATCCAAGGAAAAAAGTGAGAAGCATCAAAGGAGAATATCCTCCTTCCTTTGGTGTCCATACTTCACATAGGTTAATTTTTTTTTGGAAAAAGTTTATATAAGGATTCTACCTTATAATGTACAACTATTGATGCTCTTCAAAAAGCTATCGGAAAATGTAGTTTTATTGTTGAAAATTGATTGATCATCTCGACATCGAGATGTATTTTTATAAAAAATGAAAAGATTTTAAGTCTCATAAATAGTGCATTTTACAACATATTATCTACATCGTCCATTTTCAAGATTTTCATATGTTTATAGATCTACTTGATTTTAACCATTTTGAAATTTAAAATTTTATAATTAGATATAACAATAGATTTTGAGATAATCCTCAAAACATTTTACCTCAAAATTATTTACCTTGATAAAATTTGAAAGTGCACCTTACCTCTACACCTACTGATGCATCCATATGCAAACTGCACCCTAATATGAGAAATTTTACGCTCTAAATCTCCAATATCCAAAGTATGGGCAATTCGGTCAAAAAAAATGAGAAACCAGCAATGTAGTAACTCATGGAGAGTTTTGTATCAACAATGAATAGAAAAGATATTTACGAAAGTAAAAGTTTATTAATGAAAAATTGATAATAATTTTTTATTTATGTTGGGATTGTATACAACGAAGCTATTTACTTTTGAGACAAAAAGGTCATAATTATTTATCACCATCATATATAAAATTTAATAGCTTGGATGTGCTATAAAGTTCTAAAAAATTCCACTAACATATTAAATATCACATTTTTTACGTGCATTATTAACTATTTACAAATTGCTCCTTGTTTGCTCTACCGATCCTTGAGAACCATCTTAAAATTTTCTTTTTGATTGCAAAAGCCCTTAGAATTTCACAACAAATCGATTTTCATTACTTTTGAGAGAAAAAGCATTTAAAAGAGATTTTTGAGTGGTTAACATATGTTGTTATATATACATTTGTTGTACCACTCAATAAATTAAAAATAATTATACAATTCTTTTATGGTATCGGACCGCGGCCCTGAATATTGACGCTCTCTCTCTATGTTGGTAGCTTCTTTCTTTCAACTATTATTAAAGTAAAAGTGAACATAATTGAGTTTAGGATACGGTTTCTATGCAGCCAGTCCGCATATTATAGAAATGCGATCTTGGTAATAAATATATTTTTTAAACATAATTTGATATTAATTTTTAGATAATATATAATCTTTAACATGGAGATCATAAATATGAAATTTTTTATTTAAAATTAAAAATAATAATTATATTAAAAAAATATTTAGACTGTTAATTACAATTGTTTTTAAATGGACTACCTATTTACATCTATCTTTAAGATGGATGCTTTATACTTCTGGACCGCATATTTTCAAAGTGTGGGCCATCTCATGAAACAATTTTCTTGGAGTATCATAAATAACAATCACTAAGGCTTTTTAAATAGTTTTTTAATAATTTCGATATAAGGATAATTTTGACATTTAAGAAAAGAATATCATGTTTCATGCCCCTTGCAATTCTCTCTCTAAATGTCAATGCTCTAAATCTGTGGATGGCTTTGAACACACCCTTATCCAAGTCCACTATTTATTCATTTTTTCTTGTTGCGATTTGCAGCCATGGATTTTATCTCTCCAAACCCACCAATGGAGAATCCTCTCACTAGATGTTATTCTCTCTCTAGACTTGTTGGTGTGTTTCTCTCTCTAGTGATCATAGCAAGTGATGCAACTTTCAGCCATGGATCCAACACCCCAAGAATAGATGTGCACCCCAAAACTCTAAATGGATCTGGAGATACAGTCACCATAGAATGGAATGGCATAGAAAATCCATCAAATTTGGACTGGTTGGGTATCTACAATCCCCATGATTCTCTTGATGAGAACTTCATAGGCTATGTTTTCCTCTCCTCTTGCGAGAATTGGCGATCTGGGTCTTGCTCCATTAGCCTCCCTCTGATAAATTTGAGATCAGATTATGGGTTTCGGTTGTTTCGATGGAACGAGAGCGAGATCAATAAGCACCATGACCATGATCAAAATCAACTGCCTGTAACCAAGCATCTTCTTGCGAAGGGTGACAAAGTAGCGTTTAAGAATCCGAATGATCCAGCTCAAATTCATCTGGCCTTGACAGAGAATCATGGTGAAATGAGAGTGATTTTTGTGACAAAAGATGGGTTCAAGTGCTTTGTGAGATATGGGTTGGATGTGAGAGAGTTGGATATGGTGGTCGAGGCTTCTTCGAGGACTTATTCGAGGTCAGATATGTGTGATTCGCCAGCGAATTCAGATGTTGGGTGGAGAGATCCTGGTTTTATACATGATGGGGTCATGGTGAATTTGAAGCATGGGAAGCGTTACTATTATCAGGTAAATATTTCAGCTTGATTATTTTGTCCTGGAATTTCTGAAATTTTCTCTCTAAATATTCTGAATTTCTCTCTCTAAAATTTTATTCTCCCGGAATTTGTGTTTGTTATGATTTATATTACTGAAACAGGGTGCCTTTGAGTTTCGAGATTGGTGCTTTCTCTCTCTAGATTTCATTTATTTTTGTGTCTGTTTTGTTATTTTCTAGTTGTTTGTTGTAATTTCTAATGCTGAAACAGAGTGCCTATGAGTTTGGAGATAAGTAGTTTCTCTCTCTAGTTTTATGTTTTTGTTTCTATTTTTCTGTTTGTTCCAAATTCTATTGCTGAAAAAATGTGCCAATGAGCTAGGAGATTAGTACTTTCTCTCTCTAGATTTATTTCTTTTTTTAAAAAAATAAAGTTTATGTTAGTGATAATTTCTATTGCTGAAACAGAGGACATAGATTTTGGAGATTGGTACTCTCTGTCTCTAGGTTTTTTTTAATTGCCGAAACAGAGTGTCTATGAATTTTGTGATTGGTATTTTCTTGTAAAATCATTTCAGATATCACCTAATTAGGCACTTTATGTGGCTTTTGTTGTAACTTTGATTGGTGCTTTCTCTCTGTAGATTTTTGTTTTGAAGTTTTGTTTGTTGTTTTTCTATTGTTTAAAGAGGGGGTCTATGAGTTGGTAATTTCTTGTTGTGAAATCATTCCTTATTGTCACCTAATTATGTGGGATTTGTTGTAAATTGGTTGTTACTCTTTCTATAGTTCTTGCTTTCTTTTTATTTTTTTTATTTTTATTTTTTATTTCTATTTTTTAAAAAGAGTACCTTTGGTTCTATTTTTTAAAAAGAGTACCTTTGGTGTTTAGATTGGTACTTTTTTTGTTGTGAAATCATTCCTGCTTGGTACTTTCTACTCACTAGATTTTGTATGGCTATTCTTGCAATTTTGTTGAAATAATCCACTTTATATGGCTATTCTTGCAATTTTGTTTGGTACTTTCTCTCACTAGATTTCTTCTTCTTTTTTTTTTTTCTTTTTTGAAATTGTGTTGGTCATGGTTTCTGTTGTATAAACAGAGTGCCTATTAGTTTTAAGACTGGTGCTTAAGTCATTTCTGATTGTCACCTAATTATGTACTCTTTGTGGCTTTTGTTGCAAATTTTGTTGTAAGTTTCTTTCTTTAGGTTTTCTTTTTTTCTTTTTACTTTTTTTAAATTTCTATTGTTTAAACAGAATTCCTTGAGTTTTGAGTTGTTTTGAAATCATTTCTGATTGTCACCTAATTATGGCTTTATCTGGCCTTTCTTGCAGTTTTGGTTAATGCTTTTTCTCCATATTAGTTAAATTTGAGTTGGTCATTTCTTTGTTTAAACAGAGTGTCTATGAGTTTTGAGATTGGTACTTTCTTGATGTGAAATCATTTCTAATTGTCATCTAATCATGCACTTTATGTGGATTTTGTTCCAATTTTGGTTCTTACTCATTGTTTATGAATAGATTATTATTTTAATCCACTATGGTTATAAGGCATAACTTTTTATCTGTAAAGCTGCTTAATGTTGTTTAATTAGATGAAAAATTGCTGCTTGCTTATATATGCCCAGTTTTCTCCCAAACTTTATATTGTTTTTTACCTGATTACACAAATTTCGGATGGATAGCTTAGTTTGAACTTCAAAGGAATACTATAAAATTAAGATTTAAGAATATATGGATCATCCAAACACTTTCATTCCCTCTTCAGAATACATCATGTATGTGTGATGAAATACAAACACTCTTGACACTAGATGATCATCAATGGTTATGGATCATAAGATTGTCGCTAAAGCCGAAGGGACAAATCCCATGACACGTTCAGCTGTGGGGATTGGAACCTTGGAAAGAGTATTGCAATCACAACATTATAACCAACCGTGACGGTGCTTCGATCCCTTAGGCTTCAGCTTAGTGGTAGACATATCTGTTTGGTGAGGGAGATAAAGGATTCGAACCCTAGAAGTTTGTGCGCTGAAGCCCAAACAAGCTATCCATGCCCTCTTTTTGTTTTTTCCTTTTCTCAAACAAGGATGATCAGGGATTGGTAAGTTTTCCCCCCAATTTTTAGGATAAAGATTTCAAAGTTGTTTCCCCATGCACATAGTCTTGATATGCCATGAAACAATGCGTTACCTTGGTCTATACATGTCATCTTACATTATTTTGGGAAATATTGAAATCTTGGAATCAATAGGAAAACAGGGACTTGGCTTCGAACTGGGTTCCGAGCCTGGGTCATATCTCAGAGACTTGCCTGAGTCTGTCCAATAATAACAATGAACTAATGGAATCGTACCAAACTCAGTAGGGTGCCAAGCCCAAGTGATATATGTGAGTCAGAGTGGACGTGACTTGGGATGAGCTAAGTGATACTGTATTAATAATTTGGTCTTACTGATAAAAAACATTTAGTACAGGTTGCACCCAAGATTCATATGCCTTGTCAGTCATTAGATGGTATCTCGGAGTTTGGTATGAAATTTGAGGTTTAGTGGAATTTGGCAGCTACCTACTTGTCATGTTTTATCCTTTTATTCAATATTTAATGTTCTGCATTTGTTTGTAGTTTCAAGTATTTTCACAGTTTTTATGATTCACTTACATTAGATCTTGAGGTTTAAGAGGGCTATCTTTGTCTTGAGTTTATTTTTAACCATTGATTCAAAAAGCAGTCTGCCCAGCGCGTAGGCAGACGCCTAGGAGGGTTGGGGGGCCTAGGCAGTGCCTGGGTGGACCAACTAGGCAGGCTGTCCCTAGGCAGTCCAGAGGACTGTCTCCGACTAGGTGAAAAAATACCCATCGGGTGGTGTATTTTTAGTCCTTTTTTTTGTTTGGATTATATAAAATGCATGAATATGTGTACAAAATATATACCTAAAACAGGGTTACTGGACATCATTTACCCTTTTGAACCTAGGCGCCCAGGTTCTGGGCAGCCCAGACCCCCCGGCGGCCTACGCGCCACCTGGCATTTTTTGGAACACTGTTTTTAACATCTTTTAGCTTCAAACTTGCTCCAAGAATAAGAATTTTCTAAAGTGGAGTCTCCACTACCTCCTCATGTAGTTGGCATGAAAATTAGGACTCATGGTTGGCATTTGCTATCTTCTTCGGGGGGTAAGACTTGGTGGAAGTATCTGCTCTATGCTGCCTCTTGTTTATGGACCATGTGTTTTGCTTTTGGTATTTCTTTGGCAGCTAAGAAATAGGTGAAGTTGTCCGATCCAGATGGCCTTTCTGTTTCTTCTTTCTAGGCCAAAAACATTATCACTTATGAGGAGAAATTTTCTATTTAAAGCTTCACATGATACAAATACTTGAAAAGATAATATGTATGCTAAGGGCCCTTTTGGATTGCTCAGAAACTCCATCAAAGAATGGTGTTATATGGAAATAAGGGAAAAACAGGCTTGTTTTACCCATAGAGTTGTGAGTGTTTTAGCAGCATTTTCTGAAAGGGTGTGGTTTGCATAAGGTTGGAAACAATCAAAGTAAGGTGCACCACCAACTTTTATCATAATATGTAATTTTGGTGTAAAAAATTATTAGGATAGCCTGAGAATCCATTTTCATCTCTAATTAAAAAATTTTAGACTCCAAAAATAGTTCAAATCAAGTAGATCTATAAACAGATGAAAATCTTGAAAATAGACAGTCTAGATAATGTGTTGCGAGATGCATTATTTTTGGGACTCAAAATCTGTTTTTTCCATATTCATACATCTCGATGTTGAGATGATCAATTAGAGGGGTTTCCAACTTCAAAACAGCCTTTTATGATGGAGATTTTAGGTGCACCTTAATTCTGCATTTTAAGTTTGTAACCTTATATAAGCTTTTTCCTTTCTGAAAAAGTGGCAAATGGCTTGTTCATTTGAATAGTGGGGAGGACGAGACTGTTCTGTGCTCCCAAGCGGACTGCTGAATAAACAGACCTATCAGTTAATAAAAGGTCTGTTGAAACTGGGTGTACTAGACTATAATAAATCTCCAAGTATGTCATTTTTCTCTAGTCGTTTTATCAGCTTGTGCAAAAAGGGGTTGAATGCTTTACTTGTGACATATAAAGTTCTTTCAAAGCTTAGACTCGGTGTTATTTTTCACATTGTGGATGCTTTATATCTTGGAAAACTACTGCAGTAGCACCAGTTTTGAGAAATAAACTTTTGTTTGACTAGTAAGACTGAACTTTGCCATGGATATGAAAAGAAGACTAAAAATGCCTTCTTCTTTTTTTCCAACAAGGATACTGCCCTGCAAAACGATCTCAAAATCTCTGAGGATTTGCAGAGAATAATGGATCCTTTTGGAAAATCAGCAGGTTTGAACCCAAGTCTCAAAATGAATGGAAATGCAACTTTGATTTTGTGGCTTCGATACCCAGCTTAGCTATCAAAACAAAGAGTTCACATATTAATCATATCCAGCTCTAAATTCAGAAACCATTTCAAACCCTTGCTTTTCTGATGACACAATTCAAAACCAACGTTATTATTGTGGAAAAGTGTTCCATGAGTCAGCGGGCGTAAGAGCCCGCTAACTTACAAACGTCCATATTTAGGATGGACATTATGTAAGTGTATGGTCCATAAATAAAATATGGACGGTGCACAAAACAAAAATCAGAAAATTATATTTTTAATTTTAAAAGTTTACTTTTCTTTTCATATTCATGATCATCTTGGTCTAGATGATGAATCTACAAAAGAAATAGAAAAACAATCTATCTTTAAAATGGATTTTAGAAGGGGGCCACATATGTACATATGAGTGGGCAACTCATAGAAACCCCATCCTAGTATTATTAGTACCTCTCTCTCTTTTAGTCCCAGTTATGTAGCTTTTTATATTTGAAAACACATAATATTCTGAATGGCATCAAGAGTTGCTCTCTCATCACCTCATACAAATATGTTTTGATTTTATGATGCAGGTTGGGAGTGAGAAAGGTGGGTGGAGCTCAATCCACAGTTTCGTTACCTCAAGCAAACACTCAGATGAAACTATAGCATTCCTCTTCGGTGACATGGGAACCTCAGTCCCGTACAGGACCTTTATCCGAACCCAAGAAGAGAGCATATCCACGGTGAAATGGATTCTTAGAGACATTGAAGCCCTCGGGAACAAACCCACATTCATCTCTCACATTGGTGATATAAGTTATGCCAGGGGTTATGCATGGGTTTGGGACTATTTTTTCTCTCAGATTGAGCCTCTCGCCTCTAAGGCACCATACCATGTATGCATAGGCAACCATGAATATGACTGGCCTCAGCAGCCATGGAAACCAGCTTGGGCTTATGGTGTCTATGGAAAAGATGGAGGCGGTGAATGCGGGGTGCCATATAGCCTTCGATTTCACATGCCTTCTAACTTCTCTCTTCCCACCGGGACCACTTCTCCCCCTACTGAGAACCTCTTCTACTCTGTAGATTTTGGGGTGGTCCATTTCTTGTATTTCTCGACTGAAACCGATTTCCTACCGGGGAGCCCACAATACGAATTCATCAAGGCTGATTTGTCGAATGTGAACAGAGAGAAAACCCCATTTGTTGTAGTTCAAGGCCATCGGCCAATGTACACAACGAGCAATGAGCTAAGAGATGCCCCGCATAGAGAGAGAATGCTCAAGAGCCTGGAGCCTCTCTTTGTGGAGTACAAGGTAGATTTAGCACTGTGGGGCCATGTTCATAGATATGAGAGGTTCTGCCCTTTGAAGAACTTCACATGTGGAACTCATTTGCCTGTTCATGTGGTTATAGGAATGGCTGGTCAAGATTGGCAAGCAATATGGGAGCCAAGGGCTGATCACCCTGATGTCCCCATATATCCACAGCCTGATAGGTCATTGTATAGAGGAGGTGAGTTTGGTTACACAAGGCTTCATGCTACTAGAGAGAGATTGACTCTAACTTACATTGGGAACCATGATGGTGAGGCCCATGATGTGCTAGAAATAAGGGGCAGAGAGGGGTTTCAGGCAGTGGGTTCTTCTCTCTCTGTGTATATCAGAGGTGGGGGCTTCTTGCTTGGGGGCGCATTCTTGGGTTTCTTGGGTGGGTTCTTTGCAAGGTCTAGGAGAGAGACTGTGCAGAAGAGTACCTGGATCCCAGTGAAGAGCGATGACCTTTAGTTGATTCATGGCAATGGCAAGCATGTTTCAGGAGTTCCCTTGGTCATAGCAACTGTCATATTGAAGAAAATTACATCCATGTGAGATTCCGGCCATCCATCTCTTCACTTGCGCTTGCGTAGCCATCTCTCTCTCTATCCCCCATATGTATAGATATGGCCTCCACTTGCCTGGTTCTCCTTAGGAGGCGTTAGAGGTTCCATTGCATACTTGTAATCATACCATGTTCTATTGTTTTATATTTACTGATGTGACCAATAGTAATGGACTTAGTGTTATTGAATTTAATCTCCCAAATTTTCAGAAGGCCAGGATGTTTCCTTACATTGACATAGAGCCAAATGGAGGGACTTATCTATCAAGAGAGAGAGTTCATGAAGGTTCATATGATATATTTGTGTGTGTTTATGGAATTCAGATGCTCTTGATTTCTGGAATGGACATGCTTTACTTTTGGAAATTAGGGCAGTTAAAAATACTTGATCTGAAAATAAAATAAAGCGTCACCTCAAATCCTCATCAAAAAAGGTACTCATGGACAATAAAATGCTAAACTAAAAAAATGGTATAAATCTTACATAATCCATGAACATTTATTTTCAGGGCGAAGTGGACAGCCTAGATAATTTGTTACAAGAAAAATTGCTTCATGCGGGCTGGATCGCATTTCTACGTATATGATCTAGAAAATGTAAAACATCCATCTTAAAGATGGATGCAAGTAGGTGTTCCAAATGTTTTTTTACTAAAATTATTATTTCTAATTTTAAAATTTATTTATTTTTTCATATTCATGATCTCCATGTTAGAGATTACATGTTCTTAAAAATTAAGTCTTAATATCCATTTCAAAAATATATTTATTCAGAGGGCCGTATTTCTACATATATGGGTTTGGTCACATAGAAATTGTGTCCTTGTTTCGATAACCATATTTTAAGAAGCTTAAAATCTTTTTTTTTTTTCACAACCATAGTATTCAAGCCAAATGATTGATGTTAAGGTTTTCTAATATTTGAATTGTAATTTTCTAAGAGTTATAAAGTGAGATTTTACTTATTTTGATAGAGCTCAACCCTATCAAACCATTTTTTTAAGGGAAAATTATGTACGTATCCGTTATAGTTTCTTTTATTATGATTCTACCGAATAGTAGTTTCCGTTATTATGATATCCGTTTTTTTCATGTCAAAACGGAATTTTTTAAAAAAAGATGACTTTATTTTTTTTCTGTTGTTGAACAACCAAATTCAAAATACACCAATTTCGGTTGAAAATTTAAAAATTTTTTGTTGTTGAAGAGCCAAAAAATTTAAATTTTCGGTTCTTGAAGAATCGAAAATATTTTCTCTCTCTTGTGCGTATTTTCTGTTCTCTCTCTCGTGGTGTATTTTCTCTACCTCTCTGAAGTCATAATTATACGACAAAATCAAAGAGAAACTGTTGGTTTTGAGCCCCTAAATTTAGGAAAAATATTAAGGATAACCATGACTTCAAAGAGGTAGAGAGAGAATCCTTACCGGATTTCTATTAATCTTCTAATCTCATAATCTTTAAGTTTTCTCTTAAATTTAGGGGCTCAAACTTGTTCCGCTTTGATTTTATCAGATAACTATGACTTGAGAGAGGTAGATAAAATAGGTCGAGAAAATATTTTTCAGTTTCAACAACTGAACATTTTAAATTTTTGGTTTTTCAAGAACTCAAATTGGTGTGCTTTCGGTTGTTCAACAACCTAAAAAAGGTAAAGTAGTTTTTTTTTTTTTTTTATTTCGACATAAAAAAAGAGGATACGATGGTAATAATATAAACTATTCAATATAGCCGTAATAATAAAAACTATAACAGATATGTATCTAATTATCATTTTTTTCAAAAATCACCAAATTTGTACAGAAACAGTGATAATAAACCAAAGTATCTCTCTCTCTTTCTTTCAATCACTTCAATATGACTGTCCTCGGACGATCTTCAATCTCAAGACGTTCTTTGGGGATTGTATGCTATATATAGAACCATTTATCTTCGATATGAGGACTTCACAAATCACCCCAATGTAAAATCTAGGAGCTCAGGGTGTGTCTTAAAGTTTGAAAATTTTTTTTACAGGAAAATTTTTTTACAGGACTTGAACACAATCAACGGCACACTACCAAACCCTCTAATTTCACTTTACTTTTATTTCTTTTATTATTTTATAAGACAGGAAATAAGTTATTTTATTTTGGACAGTTTTTATGAGTTCATATAGAAATGAGGTGCCTCAGGACAATCTATTTTTGAGATGGATATTTTATTTAATTTTTAAGGACATGTGATTAGATCATGAATATAAAAAAATCAATAATTTTAAAAAATTTTAAATAATAATTCTATTAAGAAAATATTTGGACTGATAGTTTCAATTTGTTTTTAGATGAACCACCTATTTGCATGCATATTTAAGATGGATTTTTTATACCTTTGGACAACATATACAGCAATGCAATCCAGCCCGCATGAAACAATTTTTTTTTATTTTTTATATGAGGAAGTCACAATCATCATTGACATTTAAATTAGTAATTAATTAGTTGAAGATGTGTCATTGTTTAGGCACAAAGTCCAAAATTAAATTTTTTGAACGTTGTGACGCGCTTTCATCTGTAATATTTCATATCTAATGGCCAAAATAGGGGATTCAACATGGACAACCATGTTCCTCTAGGGCTACTCTCTCCTATCAAATAATGTAATAATGTTGCTTCTAGAGAGTAATGGGAATTGGGGATATTTTTTTTTTGAGAGAGAGAGAGTTTGTAAGAGTGAGTGGTCGCAAAACCAGCCGGGTCGATAGAGACATTGCTGGGTTACTTGGAATAGGCCACTGGCCGTGGTCGGTTTTGGCCGGTTAAGGTGGTCAACTAGCTCGACTATCCAACTTTAAAAAATTTAAAAATAAATTGTAAAAAATTTAAAAAATAATGAATTTGTTTATCATTTTTATTAATGTTTTAGAAAAGGTTGAGAAGTATTTTGGCTACAAATATTTATTTTTATATTTTTTTATATTATTTTTAAAATATTTCATAAGATAATAAATTTTGACAAAATTTTAGATGAACTGCCTACGTAACATAAGCATGCTCCTTAACCTAGTTATGAGATGGGTTCAGGGAAAGTTTGTCATCACTTCACAGATTTATTTTACAAAATTCATTTTTTTCACTACATTTTTCATGTTATTTGAATGTGTGGTTTAAAGGAAAATATTTCTATAAACCCTATTTTTAATTTTTATTTCTTTTTAAATCCAAAATTTCAAAACCTATCTTTTAACCCTCAAAATAACTTATACCTATTTTTATTTCAAATTTTAGTCCAAACAAATTAAAAAAATATCTTTTGCTATCTCTCATCTCACGTTTTCAATCTCTCCTCACATTTTCTCTCTCTAGACTCGTCACGCTCAGAACCCCTCTATTCTTCTTCTTACCCACCTTGTCTCAGCGGGGGCGGTAGTGGTGGCGGAGGGCACCTTCTCTCAGAGGGGGCGCTGGTGGTGGGGGAGGGTTGGCAGTGGCGCTGGAGGTGGAGGTGGTAGTTAGAGAGAGAGGGGTTTGGGAGGTTCGAATCAGCATATATCCTTTTTAGAGAGAGAGAGAGTTAGCAGTGGGTTTTTAGATAGAAGCTTTTTTAGAGAGGGAAAAGCAAAGGCGAGGCTCAGGCCTCGGCGGTGAAAGAATTCATTGAAAACCTGAAGATCTTGGAAGGTGCCTTGGGTGACAAGCCCTTGTTTGGAGGGGAGAAATTAAGGTTCGTGGACATTGCCGTGGTGCCTTTTGTTTGCTGGTTCCATGCCTAAGAGGTCCATTGTGGGTTCAGTTTTGCAGTTGAGTGCCGTGCCCCAAAATAGATGCCTGGGCCAAGCGTTGCATGGAGAAGGAGAACGTTTCAAAGCTTGCAGGACCCTGAGAAGGTCTTCGAGTCTGTGGAGGTTCTCAAGAAGAAATATGGGGTTGAGTAGAGAGACATGTGTTAGAGAGAGAGAGAGAGAGAGAGGAGGGTGTTCATTTATGTATGTTTTCTGATTAGGTCTTTTGTTGTGTTTTAATGGATAATAAAATGGAAATAATCGGGGGAGAGAAAAAATGATTCATGTCAAGAGAGAGAGTTTTAGAAAGACGATGTATTTTTTAAGTTTGTTTGGGATAAAAGAATTAGTAATAAATAAATAAAATATGTTTAAAAGGTTAGGAGTTATAATAAAGTGAAGTTTTATGTAGTAAGGTAAGTTTTGCAACATTGGGTCAATGAAAAACGAAAGTAAAAAATGAGCTCCATGGAGATATTTTTTTTTTATTTAATTATATTTTATACATTCTTTTTAAAAAAATCTTAAACCCTTTTTAACTTGACTTGGACCTACTCGACTCAACTGAGCCTCAAATCAAATTAGAGCCCACGATCAAATAGTGTTGAGAAATATAGTTTTAATATTGGAAATCTTTGTGATAGCCTTAAAATATATATTTATATCTAATTATAAATTTAAAGCTTAAAAAATAGTGTAGATCGAACACATATATGAAAACTTGAAATCTTGAAAATTGACTCTCTAAAAATGCATTATAATATGTTCTATTTTTAAAACTTGAAATCTATTTTTTTCTCATATCCATGTTTCTTGATATCGAGATGATCAATTTGAACATCAAAGCAACCTTTTTGGTGAAAATTTTGAGGTGGGTTCAACCTCTTGGTTAAAATTTTAAGGTGGGTTCAACCTCTTCGAGAGAAATTTTTGAGGTGGGCTCTAATTTGGTTGTTTAGAGCCTCGAAATTTTTGAGGTGGGCTCTAATTTGGTTGTTTAGAGCCTCGACTCTGCATAAAATTTTTTCAGAACTCGTTTAGGAAGTAAACGTCAATGACGAATCGGATATACTCCACTATCCTTGCCGTACAGGCCCTATAAATCGTGAGTCATACCATACTCCCTATGACTATGGAAAATACATGGTCAAGAGTTACATCACCGACCAAGACGGTGACTGAAAAAGGTTCGGTCCATTTCATGTGACACTATCCACGTCTCCATCGCTGTCCATCAATCAAACTGACGGTGATAAATGCTCATGATCGTAACTTTTCTATGATCACATCGACCACGATAAACTTTCCCTTGTATAAAATAAGCGCCGTAACGTGAAGCTCTGGATCACAGAGAAGCCGGTGACCACTTTCTCGTCATCTCCTTCACCCTAGCAATCAGTAAGCTTCGTTTTTTTTTTATTCGCTATATCTATTTCAGTTTTGTGTTTTCTCATTGACTGTTATTTTTTTGATTGATCGCTTTCTTCTTTTCTTGTAATCGATCTAGGGTTTTTGGGTCTCCTTGAGTTCGTTGTTTTAGACGTAGTGGAAGGTTTTTGTCAGCTAAAAAAAAAGTTATTCTTGGGATTTTTGTTTTTATTTATTTATTTGAGTGTGAATTGATGATTACATAGTTATTCTGTGTTTTATGGACTTATCTGGTAATGCTTGTGGGCTTTTATATGAATTTGGAGCTGATTTTCAGAGTTTATATGCTTTCAGTTTGTGATTCGTGGAAAGATGGGACTCTTTTATGAATTTGGAGCTGATTTCTATGTTTCTATTGGAATATGGTTCAGTTTGTGATTTGTGGACAGTTGGGTTTTATGAATTCCGAGCTGATTATTATAGATTTTAACGAGATATGACGGGTTTATTGGATGATTTGTGGAACTTTATGGTGTTATTTTTCTGAGTTCAGAGCTGATTTTTACGAAGTTTTATGAAGATGAGTTTATATTGACAAAATTGCCTTCTCCTTGAGTGAAGGATTAATTGATGCTTAAGAAAGCTTTTGGTATGGATTGCAGTTTTATTTTGGTAAAATTGTGGAGCTTTAATTTCCTTTCAGTTTTATTTTGTTTCATGTAGTGCTTTTTATTTTACGTGTTAAGACATGGGCTTCTTCTTGTGATTGATGAAATTTTATTTGTTTGTGCATAGAGCTAATTTTTGCAAGATTTTGGATTTATTTTGGACTTTGAGGAATTTTGTTTCTAATATATTTTGGAGTCAAGTAATGGTCTCAAGACTATATTGTATAGATTTTTTATTTAATTTTAAGTTAATCTGGGGTATGTCTTAGTTATGAAGTTGATCACTACTATGGTCTTATGTGGGTTATGGACTTCCTTTCTCTCAAAAATCTCGATCCTTAGTTCAAGATTTTCTTAGCTTCAGCAATTGGGAAACTACTTTTTCATGCTACATAGATACTGGATTCTCATAATGTGTCTTGTTCTTGCTAGTCCATTGTATTTGATGATTACTATTTTTTACATATATTTTTTTCTATATCTTGCTTAGGGGGGGTGAGTGGGTGTGTGGGGGAAGAAAGGAAAGGATAGTGTACCTTTAAAGTCGTAATAAGGCTAGAGGATCACTTGCTTTTCTTAAACAAGGTATGCCCTCTAGGGCTCAAAGTTGAAATTGCTTGAGGGAAAAGGCTTTTGGACTAAAATGTTACTCATGAAGAAGTTGATTATCTTCAGTACTTGCATATGTGAACTGTACCTGTAAACTTATGCACTCATGGATTATTTTCCATAGAGGCATTTGATAAAGTTTGTCATGACAATTTATTAATGATTTGTTTGATAAAAGTTCATACTTCTGGAAATGATATCAAAGAAAAATTGTCAAGCATGATATCTGCAGTTTATTTAGACCATTGTTTTCTTTCTTTTTAGGTGTAAAAACCTTTTTGCATTCTCACAGATAAGATGAAAGATTTGCAGCTTTTACTGAGTTATTTTCTTATGGATTTTTCTTTTTATTTTGTCAGTGGCGGGAATCTTGATGTATAGTTTTTAGTTAAATTCTCCATCAACCTGGGCCTGTACTATTCAGAAAGGGAACAAGCTCCTGAGTTTCCACCTCTAAGCCAAACTATCTGTTTGTCATCTATTATGGGAGGTACCATCAACCTTGGCCAGTACTATTCGACAAAGGAAACAAGCTCCTGAGTTTCCTCCTCTAAGCCAAACTATCTGTTTGTCATCTATTTATGGGAGGTATGTAACTGTGTTGCTTTTTGTTACTTTTTCTTGTTAAAAAGCAGCGAAATATTACACGAACTTAATCCATTAAAATAGAATCTTCATGGGGTGAATTATTCTTATCATCTTGTGTGAGAAATGCCGAAACTGAACTCCATAGATGCATGCAGTGATATGAAAAAGAAAACTTTCTATACACAATCGTGTCATTTTTGCTTCAATTAATACATTGGTTAGATTATTAAATTTTCTCATTGGCTTTGTTACTCTTTTTGCTTAGAGGGGTGCTTGTGTCTTTGCAAGTTTGTTGAATGTGTAAGATTGTGCATTGAGATTTTGATGTATTGCAATGGGAAATATGTATTGAAATTGAAGCTTTGCTAATCCATAGAGTCACATTATTATCTGAGGTCGCATAATAGTTGATACCCCTCCTCCAAGTGAATAACCGACGGGATCATATAATGACAAAGTTTGATGGTTTCTTGATTGAAACCCCATGGAGGATCTCTTTAAAAGTGTTTCGAAAGGCAATATGTGCTCATATGTTGATCGTGCTTGACACTGCCGTGACCAGACGAGTTTTGTATCAACTCAGCATTGGGTTGTTTTCGCTTTAAATAATGATAGGAATTTGGTGGTGGAGCTTCTAAGATGGGGATTGGGATGCCCTGCCTTTTGCTAGAAACTCCAATTGCTTAGAGAGGTTTAAGGAACTCTTAACGTATTTAAAAAAACTGGGTTTTAATATTTGGAGCTCGTCTGAGTCTACTCAACTCGGTCTCTTCAGTTTGTCGTCCCTCGTCATAACTTAGTCTTTACTTGATCTATAAACATGGCAAAATACATTATGGAACATTCAAATTTACATGAGCAAGAGTTGGCAATGATTGGGTTCTCATCAAGGCTGAGTCTGAGTTTTCAAACATTATTTGAAAAGTATTTTGGGTACATAAGGTATGAAAGATAAGCCTTTAGGGGAGCTTAGAGGCTTGGTCACTAAGAGAATGGTGGCACTAGTCCCTGAAAACAGAGGAGAAAATTTGAACAGTGAATTTACAGAATAAATGTGGTTTGGAAGGAAGGAATTTGTTGAAGGCAGAAATCCGAGGTGAATTCCTGAGGAAGGGGCATGGGCAATAAAACACATGGTTCTTCTGATCTGTGAACACGGTTAGAAACTTATCGAGCCCATTAGAACATATGGAGGACTGTGTATGTCTGTGCTTCTTTTTCTTAGTCTTGGCCTATTGGAAGAGGTTTCTTTTTCTTGTGTAATGGGTTATTCTATGTGGTATCTGGTTCCTCATCTTGGTATATATTGGGGGATTGGAGTTTTGACTTTTGTCAAATAGAGCTATCTGTTTGTTTTCTAGGAGGGCCATCTCTCTCCCTTTTCCGTGGTGGTTTTCTCTCTCTCTCTCTATATATCTTTATATCTGTCTAACTCTTGGTTTTTCAGAGATTTAGTGCATTGTTCTTGGGAAGTGTGGGGAAGGAGGGAGGGAGGTCCGAATATGTGATTACTTAAGAGATGCCTTTGAGAGGAATTGAAACTCTAGGACTTGTGTGCTTTTCTGGTGGTAGATAGAAGCATAAAACATGACCTAACAGTTTAAATTTTCACTTGTGTGAAACTTTATAGTTGCATGAGCTAGTGTTCTAAACCATGACTTGGGTCGAGTATTCAGCCCATGCCCGAGCCCTGTACTCTACCCGAGTCCGAGTAAGTACTATAGAAGCAAAAAATATTACAAAAATACAAAATACAAAAAAAGGAAAAATATATTTAAAATTTTAAACTAAAATTCAACAAAACACATCTAAATGTGGTTAAAAAAGTAACAAAAAATAGATTTTGAGAAATCAGTTGGTGACCCAAGGTTGCTTTGCGAAATTTTCCAAAAATGATGGGAAAATGGGAAATTAAGTATTCATGGCCAAAAGACTTTCCAATCTTTGCCAAAATGATAAAAAAACATGTTACGAATGGATTTCATTTTTTTTTGGAATTTTTTTTTAAGATCCCTGTGTAGGACCCCTAATCAGGACAACTCGGGCTCGGTCACTGCCTGAACCCGAGTAACTCGGCCTAGTCTAAGCTGACTCAGCTTAAGTTTCAAACACTGGCATGAACATCTATCACTTATTCTAGTAGATAGATATCATAGCATATAATTGTAGTTATGACCTTAGGAGGCTGCCTCATTTAAACTTTGTAAAGACGAAAAGATAAAATCACAAGGACTTGTACAAAACATTGGATATGAAGAGAGTACATCTTATCTCTTAATGCACCCCAATAAACTTGTCACCTCGGTACTCGAGCATGATAAAGAACTAGGCAATGACATTATGATGATTTATATTGCTAAAACTGAATGGCAAAAAAGAATCGGGCTTAGGTCAAAGGGGTAGAGGCTGGGTATTCATAGCACAACGTCTCAAGTTCCATTCCTATGTAACCTTGTCAAAAAACAAAACAGTGAATGGAAAAATAAGATCTTTATCATCACCCAAGGAAACCAAAAATAATTACGTTATATTTATTGAGATATTGAAAGGTAGAGAGTTTATTTTAAAAAATTGTTAAATGACAAACACAATAGGAAAATAGCAGTAAGAGGAACCTCTGGCATAAATGTGGGCGGAGGTCGTAGATATATTCGCAGGATTAGGATATCTGAAGTGAAATAAGCTTTGAGGGAGGACGAAGATAGGAAAGGCTTTAGGATTATATGGTATCCTGATAGAGGTTTGGAAGTGCATGGGGGAGATTGGCATATATTGGCTGACCAAGCTATTCAACAAGGTGTTGAGAACAAATAAAATACCATACGAACTGTGGAAAAATATTGTAGGTATGTAGTACTTATTAACAAAAACATAGAGGACATACAAATTGTACGAACTATCGAGGGATCAAACTTATAAGCTACAATATAAAGTTGTGGGAGAGAGTGATTGAACAATGACTAACTCATGAAATGAGTGTATCAGAAAATGAATTCGGTTTTATGCTAGGGAGATCAACTATTGAGGCCATTTTTCTACTTAGGCAATTGATTGAAAAGTCCAGGGAGAAGGGAAAAGACCTTCCCATGGTATTTATTGATTCAGAGAAAGCTTATGTTAGGGTATTTGGATATTTAATTTGGTGGCCGTTGAAAAAGGAAGGAGTCTCCAAATGTTATATTGACACGTGAGAGATATATTTTCAATGACATTAGGCCTACATCAGGGTGAGCGTTGAGCCCATATCTCTTTGTTTTAGTTATGGAGGAGTTAACTAGGTACCTAAGATGAGGTACCGTAGTGTATGTTGTTCGCAAATGACAAAGTTTTGATTATGAGACTAGACGCTGCATTCGCGCAAAGTTAGAACATTAGGGTGATGCTCAAGAATCTAAAGATTTTAAAATTGGGATTGTCTACAAAGAGACCATTTAACTTTTGTACAAGGAAGTCACAACTATTCCCACTCATAAGATGTCAAATTGGATGGCTTGGTTTGAGTCAAGAAGTCTGAGAAATTTTTTTTTGGAACTTTGTGTCTAATCGATGACACTCTTACAACCACCCATTTTGAAATCTAAGGGACAAGAATGATTGTGACCTCCTTGTACAAAAGGTAAATTGTGTCTTTGTAGACAATCCTTTTAAAATTAGTCGGATTAAGATAGTATGTAAGGAATGCAAATATATAATACAAGAAACAAGGGAGTTGTTAAGATTGATGGCCAAGAAATTCTTAAAAGAGAGTATTTCTGAATTTTGGGTGATAATCTAGAAAAATGGAGAGATTGACGAAGATGTCACACAAAATTAGAGCTGGGTGGGTGAAGTGGAGATGTACAACTGGAGTTTTATATGATTGCCGCATATGCCAATGAAGTTGAAGGGGAAGTTCTATTGGACAACTGTGAAACCAACTTTGCTTTATGAAATGAAATGTTGGGTGGTCAAGAAACAACATACCCATAGGATGAGTGTAGCTGAGATGAAGATGTTGAGATGGATGAGTGGAAAGACAAGAAAGGATGGACGTAAAATGGAGGGAACTTAGGTGTAGTTTCAATAAGCGATGAGGAAAATAGATTTAGGTGGGCTGGCCAAGTGCAGCGTAGAGTTAATACAATGCTGGTTAAGTGGGCCGATTTAATTCAAGTAGAAGGCTTTAAAAGGGCAAGGGCAAAGGCAAAGCCCAAAAGGGCATGGATGAAAGCAGTGAGAAAAGATATGGGGACTTATGGTCCTGCTGAGGGTATGACCCATGTTAAAGCAGATTGGTGGAACAAGATTTGTGTTGCCAACCCCAAATAGTAGGGATAAGGCTCTAATGATGATGATGATGATGATGATTTGTCAAGATACCGAACACAATTGCATCCATTTGAATGTAGTTTTAATTGACATTGTTATGTTGGTTTCATTTGTGATGGTATATCATGTGTTCCCCTCTCTCTTCTCTCTCTCACACACACATGCGCACATGCATTCACTTGATGTGACACTCTTACCTTGTTTCTAAAATGTTCCTTTTTTCAAAAGAAACTAGAACACGGCATAATTTATGCTCAAGTTGCCTGCAATTCATGTGATAAGCTTGTAGATTTTTTCATCATGCTAGTCCATGGGTCACATTTGAAAATTCTTCTAAGCTACGACTTTGCATTTCATGTTGAAACTGTCCCTATGTAGTTTCTCGCAAGTCGCTGTTGTTGTTTTTCACCTTTTATCTCTATTTATGCATATTCATCTCTTCTTAGTCTCTACCGCCGCTCAGGAAGCCGACAGCTTCAACGACAAAAGTGCATGGCTTCACCATCAAACTTTCCCTCAAAGGCCACAAACCCATCACCCGAAAACTCCAATGAGACAAGTCCAACTGATCCAAAGACAGGAATAACACCATCACCTCGAGCTTCTAACCAACAAAGCCGAGTCCTTTCTGGACCAGTAGCCATACTATGGGACATAGAAAATTGCCCAGTTCCCAGTGATGTTCGCCCTGAAGATGTTGCAGGCAATATAAGAATGGCTTTAAGGGTTCACCCGGTTATTAAAGGAGCTGTTACACTTTTTTCAGCCTATGGAGATTTCAATGTCTTTCCTCGAAGACTTAGAGAGGGTTGCCAAAGGACTGGGGTTAAGCTCGTTGATGTACCCAATGGCCGAAAGGATGCAGCTGATAAAGCCATCTTAGTTGACATGTTTTTGTTTGCCCTAGATAATCGGCCTCCCTCTTCAATTCTTCTCATTTCCGGAGATGTCGATTTTGCCCCTGCGCTGCACATACTTGGCCAGAGAGGATACACAGTCATTTTGGTAATTCCTTCTGGTGTCGGGGTCTCCTCTGCCCTTAGTAATGCAGGTCGGTTTGTTTGGGATTGGCCTAGTGTGGCTCGAGGAGAGGGCTTTGTGCCCCCAAAATCCTTTATTTCTCGAAACCCTGAGGCGTCCTCTTTGACGGCCTTTCTCTCTCTGTATGAGCCTTCGGAAGCCCAACACGAAGAAGAGTCAATCGTGTACAGGGGGTTGGCCCAAAACGAGTTCACGAGTTCTCACATCAATCAGACCTTTCGATTTAACTCTTCTCATGTTTCGTGGGATCACCAAAACAGGGCCTCTCAGTCCTTAACCGAATATAGTGCCAGTAATCTCATGGCCGTGTCTGCTTTGCCTTCTTCAAGGTCTCTAAGCCTTCCTTCGGGCTTGAATGAAGTGCCTTCTAGTGAGAGAAATGTGCCCCCTGAGTGGGTTCAGCCTGGTGATATTCAGGGCCTTAAAGGGCAGCTCGTTAAGCTTCTCGAGCTTTTTGGTGGGAGCTTACCCTTAGTTCGAGTCCCGCCGGAGTACCAAAAATTTTTTGGCCGGCCATTATATCTCTCAGAGTATGGCTCGTGCAAGCTTGTGCACTTGGTCAAGAAAATGGCTGATAAGCTTACAATCGAAGGAAAGGGGCACGCAAAGTTTCTCTCTCTAAAAGGCTCCAGCCAAAGGTTGGACAAAGCTTCGGTGGGGGGAACACCAGGGAAGAGAGAGAATAAGAAAGGGAAGGCCCAGATAGAGAGTTGCGGGATGAATGAGAATGAAGAGGCACACTATTGCCATCCAAATGTGGGGTGTTCATCTGATGATGGCTCATCAGAAGAGGATGGGAACCACGAAAACATTTTCCGAGAAGCTGGTTTGGTTGGTCAGATAAAGGATTTTTCACGTGAGTTAGAGGAGCTTTTAGTGAGCTACGCAGGGCGAATTTTGTTGGACAGTTTTGAGCTTCTCTATAAACAAAGGTATAAGAAGGTGCTGGATTATCGAAGCTTAGGGGTGGGGGGTTTGGAAGAGCTGATTGAGAAAGTAAGGGAGTTTGCGATTTTGCATGAGGAGATGGGGACGAACAGGAAGTTTGTTGTAGCAAGTTGTTTGGGCCGTACACAATGAGTCGTTTGGTCATACTGTGTTTCTCTCTCTACGTTCTCTCAACAAAATAAGAAGAAAAAAAGAAAAGTCTCTCCCTTTGTTGATATGGTGGGGAGAGATTTGTGGCTTTTAGTTGAGTTTTCATGTGAGTTTTGGTAGGTGGTGGTGTTGTAGTTGGGCCGGTGTTGTCCAGGTAGCTCTCTTTCTCTCTCGCAGTCAGAGGCTTTATTAAATGGCTCGTTATAATCTCCCTTCTCTCTCATCATCTCTCTCTCTCTATCAGGCTTTATTATAATGCCTGCTTCTCATTATAATCTCTCTCCAGGCTTTAACTAGGATTGTCTTACTCCTATCATCTACTCCCCCACTATTATCATCTCTCTCTCTCACATACGCTCACAACAAGGCCTTCATCAAGATTGTCTTGAGTGGCTTGGTCTGCTATTATTCATGAGTCTCTCTCTTCTCTCTCTCTCCACACATGCTTTCATTAAGATCGCTTTACTCTATTATCATCCATTAGTCTTTCTCTCTGCAGCCTTTCATTAAGATTGGCTACCACTGACTGTAATTTCTGTCGAGGCTTCATAAATACTGCTGTCTCTCTCTCTCCAAAGGCTTTTATTAAGATTGCTTTAGTCGTTATCGTCCATCTCTCCCCAACCAAGCTTCATCAGGATTGCATACCACTGACTGTAATTTTTAAGCTTAAAGAGTTCTTATAACCTCTCTCTCTCTCTCTCTCTCTCTCTCTCTCTCTCTCTCTCTCTCTATATATATATATATATATATATATATATATATATAACACATGGTTTGGGGCCATGGGATGGTTGCGGAGATGGAGATGGGAGATCGAATTTAGATTGGTGATACTTTGTAGTGAGTTATCATATGGTTGTACAGCTCTTTTACTCTTTGCTATGGGTTCACCAGTTTTGGGGGACGTCTTGTAGTCATGTGATGTGATGTGATGTGTACATTACAAATCTTTTTGTTTCATGCCTTGTTTGCTAACAAGATTTTGTCTTGATTGCATCAAATCTGCCTTTAGAAAAAAACACAGCACACACACTAGAATAGTTCGATTACTATGTACGCTATAACTTGGAAAATCGATGGATGCTAGCAAAGCACCGCTTACTCTACCTGATATTTGAGTGTATGTGACTTATCGCCCCCTTCTATTTCCAGTTTATAAGTTCGTCATATTAGCATCAAGGAAGCCTCTCTTTTAAAGCTTAGAGAATTCAACTCACTCTAGAAGCTTTTAAACAAACTCCTTTCTCTAATTGGTTAGACATGATTCGCTCTTTCTCGTTGTATTAAAAGCTTAGATAATTTAACTCTCTTTAAAGGTTAAGACAATTTGTTTCTTATTTTAGAATATCATTTTCCGGGCCATGTAATTTTGCTACTGCTAGTGAAGCTGAAGCCAGAGTCCTATTACAAGTGCAGAGTTATGTAGTCTCTTGAGGGACTTTAGCAAGCTAAAGCGGATTCGGAGAATGTGGGTAGATGTTCATGTTGCAAATATTGCGAATCCGAAGTATTGCTGAGATTCAGGTGATCGTCATGCCAAACGGTTCTGTTAGTCACATCAGTCATGTCTTCAAAGTCTCTGATTCTTAGCATTTAGAAAAAAATTGTGTGGGTAGGAATTGTGAGAAGCTATTGATTAATGTTTTATTTAGAAGCAACATGTGATGCTTTTCTTATGGTTTTCCAATTGGAAGGTTACTTGCATTGAGTAAGCAACAGCGCATGAGAGAGAGTGAGAGACATTTGGGGGAGCTTAGGCATGTCTTATTTTAGAAGCAACATATGAAGCCTTCAAGAATTCATGTACTATATATATATATATATATATATATATATAAA